AGTGGGAGGGGCCATATGTGGGTGGGCGGGGCAGAGGTGGGTGGGAGGGGCGGACCTCCTGCTACCAAACAGGCCAGCAGAGAGGGGTGGAGCGCATAGACCAGGACTCTGGTGGTGGTGGGGGGAGGGGGGCAGCAGGAAGCATGGAGGCCCACTCTAAGGGGCTGAGGACCACCGAATCTGGCTGGGAAATAAGAGAAGGAACCAGTGTGGTTGAGAATGAGGCCATGCTTGGGGCCAGGACCCTCAGTCATCTGCACTTGCTGGAGGACTGGGGGTTCAGATCTTAGGTGGCTGACATGCTGTTGCTGCAGTCTTGGGGTGGGATGGCGCGGGTGGGGTGGACCCCAGAAGCACCCGGTCACCAGCTCTCCAGTGTCCTCGGCTGCGAGCAGGGGTCTCAGAGACCACTGACTGCTCCACCAGCTGGCCGGGTCCACACTGTGCCCCCGCTGTGCGTGGGGTCGAGAAGGCCAGGGTCAGGCACACAAGCCCAGGTCAGTGTCCGTCCGGGAGACCCCATAAGGGATGCTGCCACCCACCCCCCTCCCCAATTGGCACCACGGGCGCGGGGCTGGGCCGTGCACACCCACACTTGGAGCAGCGTGCTCCTGATAAACCAAGTACATAAGGACATCTTTTATTTTTTTCCCCTCAAAGGAGGTCTTGGGGATTGAACCCAGGATGTCACGCATGCTAAGCAGACGCTCTACCACTGAGCTGTACCACCCCCAGCCCCATATGGACATCCTGACCCTTTACCCGTCCAGGAGCAGGACAGCAGGGCCCTGAGGGAGAAACGCACACAGTCCGCATTTCTTCCTGTAAAACTGACAAGGTGCCACCCCTGGGCCAGGAGGGCAGCCTAAAGCAGTGTGCACACAAGCAGGTCCAGGCCTAGATGGTCCATCACCGAATCTGCACAACAGGGGAAACAAAAGGGCTCTCACACCCGACACATGCCTCAGGCTGGCACCAGCACGCAGAGTCCGGAACACTCCGCCCTCCTGAAAAAGGGCGGTCAGGCCCGTATTCCTTGACAGGAAACAGCCATGATGACGAGGAAAGGTACAAAAGAATCTACGTTTCCATCCCTCCCGCCGGGTCTTCGCCACTCCAGAGGCATCAGGCGTCCCCAGGGAGCGCTGGTCCGGGGTGTCGGCCCCCAGGTTCATTCCCAGCGGAGGGGGGGTCACTCACTCCACAGAGGGACACCAGGAGTCAGCGTCCTGGGCCGTGTGGACACCAGGACACCTCCCCGAGACGCCTGGCCCCTCACGGAGGCGCCTCTTTGTAGGGCCCTGGCTTCTCTTCCTCGACAAACTTGCGATTACCAGAGGGAAAGAGGGGCTGGAGGGACAGATCAGGAGTCTGGGATTAACAGAAACACACTCCTATATATACACTAGATAACAAGGAACTCCATTCAGTATCTTGTAATAACCTATAATGGAA